TCGGTCACGCTATAACAAACGCTATAATATACAACGAACGACTCACGTGCTCGATTCAATTGTCAGTCTCTCTCTGTCTGCAGTTCAATTACATCGTTGCCGTCACTTCTTGGCGTTCTTATATACAAGAATACCGTACATCTAGTAAACACTCGAGGCTTCACGAAGGGGCATGATTTTTCTAGAAGTTCGTGACGTGTTACTAGCGTCACGTGACTTCCGCTGTCGTAACAATGTCTTAGACGAATTTGGAATACAGTTATACAGATTATGACCAAGAGGATTTCTTTTGGTAATTTAGTTGATAACTAATGTTGTGTCTATTTTACTGAACAGAATAGAAGGTCTTATTAATGAACACCAAGATCTTAAAAAGGAAGAATTCAATTATTTAGAATTAGTGTAGTTTAAAATAACCTTGAGAGTTTTGGTGTAAATGGATTGCTCAACAGTGTACAAATGAAAAGACTATTTGACTTGTATTCAGTTGTCTCTGTGTGAGTTCTTTATTCCACAGGTAAACTTCCTCAAGTTGGTGGCTTATGTGCTCTGCTCGCGAAATCACGACGCGAAATTCAAATAAATTTCTTTGTAACGAGTGTAAAGTCGAACCCAACGAATAAGCCCACGGGCTGCCCATACACCTACTATACTTTATTCCAGTGAAGACTGTGGGACAGCATATCAAAAATCGATATATATATGATTCAATGTGTATGTGTGTGTCACGTAACTCTTCCTAAACCGCTGATCACACCGACTTCTAAGTGGTATCAAACGAATCGTCTCATCCTGAAGGCCCCCAGTGGCACAGCAATTTGTCTGCGGATTTAGAACACTATAAATTGGGTTTTGATACCTGTGATGGACAGAGCACATATAACCCATTGTGTAGCTTTTTGAGTAACTTCAAACAAACAATCCCGAGGGTTGCACAAAGGTAAAAATATTTTCCTCACCCAATAAGGAAAGCCGGAGATTCCCGAAAAACATTTCTTCTAAACTGCTGGACTCCCCAACTTCTAAACTGTGCCAAACAAATCATCTCTGCCATGAGGTTTGCACAAAGTTAAAACTTTTCACTCAATTCCTTAGAGAAACCGGGTATTTCGCGAAAACACTTTTACGGGGATTCCTCTAAAGCGAACCACAAATTTGGCATTGATTTACATTAGAGTACATACATAAGTAGGCCTACTAATTAACGCTCGTAACTTGGTTAATTAAATTAAATTTGCATTATAGCAGGAATGATAATTAAACTGAAAAGCGCAAAATAGTAGTTATAGCAATAAGTTTGCATTAACCCCTTACCTGTCGTGGCCATTTTGTCTTATGGTGAGAGCAAAATCACATTTGTGAATTGAAAAAAATTATAGAGAACTTATCTTTTATTGGATTTCAGATTTTATTTTTGTAAAAAGTGGCATAACATGCAATTATTTATACAAAATTGTATTATTTAATGAAGTTTAAAGAGGAATTTAATGGAAAAAAAAACTAAAATATGTTTCAGACTGTAAATAAGCGCCCTCTAAAAAGAAAATGTTTCCTACCACTTCAATACTGGTCCTGCCATCTATGATTGGTATCTAAACCTTTTTCTAGTCTGTTTTCTTTATAAAACAGCGTCAGGGCGTGTTAAACCTCAGTTGTAAAACTTTTAGCCAATCCTAGTCGAAGGTGTCAATTTCAGTAACCATGTCATTCCAATCGCTGTATTTCACGTTTGACAAATCATAGGATGATAAGCAAAGCACGTGACGAAACGTTGTTCTCTAGAATATGAATGTGGGTGGTGCTTATTATAGTTACTACCATTTTATGTAGAGGTTGTATTTATTATTGGCCAGTAGTGCTTTCTATAAACGTTAGAAAACTTGCTTCTGGAAAAAAATGGATGGGATGTAAGTGACTTTTATTATTTTTCTAGCTTAAGTAATGCTGCATCGTATATCAATTTATATTAATCATTATATTGAAAAAGTATCTCAAAATAGGTATATTTTTTAGGAAAGAAGTTGATCCACGATTGTTAGGGTTAAGAACTATCGAGTAGCGAGTGCAAGGTCTTTACATGAATTAAGCTAAGCACTTTGAACTGAAAGAATTTGTGATTTTGTATATTCTTTTGCATTTAAATTTGTAGTTTTAAGTTCAATAATTTCGCATAATTTTATATTTAGTTGATAATAATAATATGATTCAGTATTTAGAATGATAAACTTGTGTGAGTTGTACGTAGTACTACTAGTACCAGTATCAAATAATAATTTTATATTTTTCCTTCTTACAATCTTTACTTTGTAGTAAGACCCACATTCCTGTTGTTGTTGCTTTATAATTAAAACAGTCTAACTGATATATATATATAAAGTTTATTTTGATAATTTGCAAATGGTGTAAAACTCAGTGTACAAGTGACAACAATAAAACCCATATGTTGGTTGTGAAACAGGCTAAATATATTTGTCTCAATAATACAGGGAAGCTATGACATTCTCACAGTTGGGGTCTCGATACACTGTTTCGAATTCCAGTATAAATCTTGCCTATAATGAGAGGAATGTGACCAGGACTAATCTTTTAAGTGCTTTGTAATTTATGGTGTCTGTATCATTTGGTAATCTCTTCTAACAGGATGTATTAAGTAACTAGGGTC